AATCAAATTCTCCCAACACCCCTACCAAACATATCTCCACCCACCCCTTTTTTTAACCCCCCCCCATGTTTCTCTTTACCCCCCCAAAACCCCCCCCCCCCCCCCCCCTCCACACAGACCGTGACAGACATGTCGACATTCTATTTTTGGATTCTTGAACGACAGAATTTATATAATAAAATAAATATTTAAATAAATAATTTTTTTAAAGATAAATTCTCTGGTCTAAAAATCCAAAAAGGGTATGGCGACATGTCTGTCACGGTCTGTGATGGTGTAGAGGATTTTTAAATATGTTGGTTTTCGGTCTCGTCACGTAATATATGGCGAGGTTCTCTGTCACGGTGGCTCAGTCGTGTTTCACATTTTAATCCCGAAGAGATTGCGCTGAAAGCTTTTTTTCTATACAGACACTCATCTCTTTAAATATAACTTACAGTCAAATCGAACCTAGAGGAGCACAATATGTTGGTGATGCATTACAAAATAACTCAGTTAATCATCTATCATGATTCTCTCTTTTATTTATTCCATTGACTGTAAGTCTATGGTCATACGAAAACAATTTGGTCATACGAAAAAGTACAAAGTGTTTGTGTGTGTGTGTGTGTGTTTGTCCGTACAGAGGTGTGACGGACGTACATACATATAGTCATGTAACAGTGTGACGGACGTACATACATATAGTGACTACCGAGTGTGACGGACGTACATACATATAGTCATGTGGCACTGTGACGGACGTACATACATATAGTGACCAGTGAGTGTTTTGGACGTACATACATATAGTGACCACTGCACAGTGGACAATTAGGCAGCAATTTGGTCAAACAGATGAAGTTTGATTTTTTTTGATTTGAAGATTGGCCTATATACTTCAAGTGACGGGCTATCTAACGGCAAAAGAATTTTTATCCAAAGCCCTTTCCTCTCAGGAAAAAGTTAGTCGGAAAAATCCTTCTATTATTTTGTACCTCTTTGGAAAAACCGCATTTTCTCGACTTAAGTTTGGTGTCAGCATTAATCTGAGGCCATATTCGGAATCAGCGGAAGTTAGGCTTCCAATCAGCATGGGAAAAGTTTTTCTCGAGCCTCATTCTTAAAAAAGATTTTGACCTTTTCTGGAAAAACGTGATTTTCCAAAAGCTTCACTCAATGCAATGAGATCGCTAAATTTTCCTAAGCTCCAAGAACCTTCATTTTTTGCGAGGATGAGCTCCATAACCACCTCTGTGGTATCAGCCCCTAATCGCCCAAATCACACTGGCGTTCCGTTGGTTTTCAGGGTAAAATAAGCTTTTTTGTACCTTAAAATGATTTTTTTTTATATAATCTATACATATTCGAGATCAGTGGGAAAAACTGCATCTAATGAATTAGAATATTGCAAAAAATTACAATGTAGCGCTCGGTGCTTTATCAGAGGAAGCACTTGAAGCCCCTAACAAATATGTTCGTAATTATAGAGAACATTTGGCACGTAAGATCGGATACATTCCTAATCTGACTGATGTGTTTTCTCGTCTGTTTATTAGATCTGATCGGGTTGTTCGTACAATAGTGGATGCAGAAAATCAAAACTAGCTAGCAGGTTTCTGATAGTGCCATCAGACTCAGCGTCACGAATTACATATGGGAAAGTGTTTTCAGCGTTAAAAAATGTAAACTAGTCCAATTGCTGCCTGCTCTTGTATAAATTGCCCACTGTGCACTGAGTGTGACAGACGTACATACATATAATGACTAGTGAGTGTGACCGACGTACATACATATAGTGATCAGTGGGTGTGACGGATGTACATACACAGAAGCACTAATGAATGTCGCGGACAAAGATCCACGTGGGTAGATGCACTCGCATTTTCTGTGGAATCAGAGACCTGTAACACCTATCCTGACTGCGAGCGCGGACCGAAGAGACGCGTGAGCATTGTCTTTAATTTCGAAATATTGTTAGACGTCTGGGGTTCTTTGGGGGTCAGATAAAACCAAATCAAATTACAGAGGCGTTGTCTGGGATTCAGAAGTGTTTGTAAACGTCGGGGGTTCTTTGGGTGCTCTGGAGAAAACTTGTATAGATGGAAGCTACTTTACGAAGGTGGCACATCAGATCAGAGAAGTATTCATAACGCATGGTAGATAGTCCCTAGCGAACACCGACCGAAGGGAGGTGTAAGCGTTGTTTCGACGAACTAGGCCAAACGTTGCCCCCACTCAGGTTTTGTTATCAAGGGTAAGAAGACTGGTAGATTCGTCCATTTCGAACGTCTGTATAGCACATGAAAGCAAATCAAATTACAGAGTCTCGATGAACTACAGAAATTCTGATAAACTTTTCTAACCCGTGAAAAGCTATAGCAACTACTTCTGTAAAACTACCATGGAAAATATGTAAGCACTCATCGGAAAAATACGCATCAATTCTGTAGTAATAAGATCGGGCTACAACAGAATGAAATAATATTCGCGACACGACATTCATTCAACTTACAGTCAATGGACTTGTGAAGGCTCCACAAGAGTGGGGGTTCGCCGAAACGCCGTTCTGGTAGATCCACCAGTGCATTATATCACTTTTTTTTCTGTTTCAATTCTTACTGTTCCGTTTTTTGTTATTTTTTTCTTTCTGTTTTCGTTGTGATGTGTGTCGACACACATTGATATTGGTGGGGGGGGCCTGTTATCACATGCCTTCACATCGCTTCAGCTATTCGTGTCTGTTTTTTTTGCTCTATTCATCTTTCGCTTCTTTTCTTTTTTTCTTCACATGCGAGTCAGAGAGCAGCACGCAGAACAGTCGAATAAAGGGACTTCCAACAATATTCTTTGCTTTATTCTAGATCTTCAAAATGATGAAAATATATCTATATTTAATGCCTTTTGCTTTGTATTATTATTCGGGAGAATGCGCATTGTCTCAACCATATTTTCCTTCCCAAATTGTTTTCTCTCCTGATAATAATAAAACAATATTTGCAATTGATGAAATAAATCAACGAGCTTATAAAACAGTTGCTTATGGTGCTACAGTACGAGAAACTTCGTATTTAATGAAAAATTTTCCGTACGCAACTCCTGACTCACCGCAATCAAAATATTATGTTCAATTATTAGTAGATACTCCATCAAATAATTGTCAGTATGCAACATATTGGAAATATGGTGGATCTACATTCAATTCATTTCCATTACATTGGCAAATTAATTCCAGCTCAATTAGAGTAGAGAATTATATTAAATTTAAATATGAAATGTTACATTCGAATGATTCTTCTACAGATGAAGATTATTGGTATTCAAATGTAACATGTCAAGTTTATAGTGGAGAAATTTATCCATGTGAAGAAATTTATTTTAACAAAAATACCGAAATTCCTCTTCGATTCACTGAAGTTGTTCGTCGGGGATGGTTTCTTGTACAAGAAACAACATCATATCAAGTAATATCAATGGGAAAACCAGATGAGAAGTTATTCGATTCGATACCAAAAACCTGGCCGGATTCTTGCCGAGATTATTCACTTGGAATTTTATATTATCCACAAAGAATGAAAATACTTTTACATGAAAATGCCAAAGTTCAAGTTTGGCTAATAGCACCTCCACATCGAATTAATGAAAGTGATACTGTTACTATTCAATGGAAATCATATGAATGTATGGATTGTTTTACATGGACACCAAATCAACTTTTATTTAATAGTAAAAATTTCCAAGAAAGACAAACATTAACAATAACTCGTGTCAAAGATGGTCCTAAAACAACTCTTATTCCAAGTTTTAATGGTGGAGGTTTTGATCATGTTACAGCATCAATATATCCTATTTTTATTGAATAAGAATCTTTCTTTTGGTTCGTAATGTCTACGAAATAAATTGACAGAAAGTCCAAAGATATAATCAGACCGCACTTTGAAATGAATGACGCTGCTTCTATTTTTTCAAAGTAAAATATTACTTTATGTATCTGCTCGAACAAAAAAAAGAAATCAGATTGATATTATTTGTAACATAAGTCTGACAAAAGCAATATGATGCTGTATTTGAATACAGTCTATTGATAAATATTACACTGCTGTTCTGCAGCCTCATCATTTCATGATGTGAAACACGATCTGAAAGAGTGTTGTAGTGTATAGGGGTAGGAATTTGATCAAGGAATCTGATCATACTCAGTTCGATTGTCAATGAAACCTTTTCTCATTGTGAATAGTAACATCGTTGTTACATATTCAAAATAAATAAAAGAGTAAATAATCAATGCCAGAACTATTCTGAACTAATTATGTCATTCTTGCACGTGAGCAGATGAATAAGGCATGCTTGTGAAAACCAATCAAATAATCAGATTTTAATCTATTCGTTTTCAGATAGAAATAAAAATATATGGTCGACTCGTACCGAACGTAGGAGGCAACGACGGCTCAATGAAAATTCCTATTCATTTGATAATATATGTCAGTATCAGGCTACAAGAGAAACAAATGCAGATGGTATATGATTATACCGAATGAAATGAACATTTGAGGCATTAATTCAAATGATCTGTTGTTTTTTTTGCAGTGTTGAATGAGTTGATAGTACGAGAATATAACGACATGGAAACAAATAATATGCACGAATCAAAGTAGACTGAAATTCAATTTCTCCTCGTACTGCTATAATCTGAATGACTTTTTCTCGTTCTAGTGATCATGAAGAGTCGGAGAACAAGTCAGAATGGATCGATGATGAAGAACCGAGAACATGATTGGAAGAGAAGTAATTAAAAACAATTTTCTTTGTCACATGGTCTCTATAAATGACATTGATAATTCGTTTTTGTTCAGTAACGGGTGATGCAAAAGTCTTGGCAAGAATGTCGAACTTCACTGTGAGCTTCCATAAGGTGTTAGAGACTTGATTCTTTCACCATCGGAAAGAGCAGAGCCTGGAGACTACAAATGCATTTCTTCAAAAAAAAATTTGACCTTTTCAATCGCCAAAATTTTCGAAACGCTACAGGCGTCAAAAACGGCTTGGCATCATTCAAATTTTTCTTGCTAATTACTTTTTTCGTAATTAACAGATCTCAGTCAAACTTTGATGGAGCTCGGTCTAACTTTCAGATTATAGGTAACTTAGTGTCAGCTACTCGAATAACTTGGATTCAATTTAGTTCGTCTTCATGGAAACACTTTAACGCCATTTTATTAAAAGGGGAGGGCAATGTTTTCATCCCTCCCTTTTTAAATGAGGCTGCGTCTCGAGTTGATTAGATACAAATTTTTATGCTCTTTCCGAATATCAAACTCAAATTCAGTTTGGACAAAATCTTGAATCTAAAACCTTTTCACTACAAAACCGGTTGCTTACTACCATTTTACACTAATTAAAATTTGGGCCATAACTTCGGCAGACAAGGTGCGTTTGAGTTCAAAATTTTTTTCCAGATAGGCCATCAGTCGATCAACGAAACCACAGTAAAAGGTTTCCCGGAAGTCATGAATTGTGAAAATTTCAAGAGAAACTTAAAAATTTGAATGGTGACAGGCCGCTTTTGGCGCCTGTAGCGTTTCGAAAATTTTGACCCTTAAAGAGGTCAAATTTTTTTTGAAGAAATGCATTTCTAGTCTCCAGACTCTGCTCTATCCTATGGTGAAAGAATCAAGTCTCTAGCACCTTATGGGGGCTCACATTGTGAAGCTCGACATTCTTGCCAAGACTTTTGCATCACTCGTTATGATATATGAATTTTTGTCATCGAAAAAGAGAAATCTAACTAAACATGAAATATCAACAGCATTGATCATCCTCAAATCACGACACAAGCTGACAACAAAGGCAATATCAGATATTTGTCGACTGCTACGTTTATTCAAAATGGTCAATGCTCCCAAAGGTTTTGCAGCAGTGAAATGCGCAGTCGAACAGCAGGCGACAGAGATTGTGAAACTAGAACTATTGTCTATTTGTTCCTTCTGCCGCAATGTCTTCACCGAAAGGACGGAGGACGATAAGACCGCAAATCGGCCCACTACCAAATCCATTATGCAATAACTCATCAGATGCAGTTTTTCTTGCCCATTAAACCTATCATATTTTTAGACAATCAAAATCCTTTCCAACGCCCCCGGAAGCCTTTTGCCAAACTAAAACCTTCTTGCTTTAAACGAAATTGCCCATAGCAATTTAATTCGCCTAACTCTTTCCCCTACAGGAAGTATCAACTAGTATACATCACTCGATAGAGAATTTCACGGGCTACAAAATGATATATGAGATATTGTTAAGAAGCTGTGTCCGAGTAGTCCAAGGTTGGAAATACTCGTTAGCAACTCAGCAAACGGGCGGGTCAAGGTCATTGATGTCAAAAATTCTCCATTATTCGGTCATTAACCAGTCCATTTCATACATCATTCATGAAATGGTCCTTAATGGTTTAGATATTATCAACGACGGTAATACTTGTTATATCAACGCAACATATCGAATTTTGGCAAATACTCCACCATTTGCACAACGGGTATTATCAAATTGTGTTCATTCTCCGTTATGTAAGTTAAATGAATATTCTTGATCCTTGATAACGATATATCGATAAGTCATTGCTGGAAAACTTTTTACATGTATCTTTATGACAAGTATTTATTGTTTTCTTTTCGGATAATCATATTTCTTAACTAAGCGGCAACGTGAAGCTTGGAGAATAATTGCTCTCCGGAAACAAATTAGAAAAATACACGACCGATGGCGTAATTATTTCCAATGCTCCATGAGTATTAAAAAGCTACATATAGTCTTCTGTTTGAGGATATAGATTTGACGATTTTACCTCAGTTTTACACACATTATATGTTGAAAAAGAGAAACCTTATAATCAGCATAGGCATCAGCGAGACTAAAAAGAAGTTTTTTTTCTATCGGGATCGGGATTGCAGAAAAAATTCAGTTTCGCAGAAAAAGTGTTTCCATCTAAAAATTTTCACCTTTTCCCGAACTCCAAAATATTATTGAAAATTCTCGGTTTTTTTGCAGAAAATACTAACTTCTTTCACAATTTGTGATTTTTGAAGAATTGCTTCTTACCCCTTTCGTTAAAAATTTTGACCGTGACCGGTGCCAAAAACGTCCATCACGCTGTTACATAGTCGGCACTACTGATAAAATTTTCGAGCAACATCTGACTGTGATTGTATACTTCATGTAATTTTTAAGATCATTTTCTTTCATTTTTCTTTCACAAGTGTAAGACACACTTATACAACTTTAACCGCAAGGAAAAATTAACTGTAATTTTCAGTGATTCAAAACATCGATCCACCGAAGCATAATTTTTCTCTTATAATCATTTGTTTACGACAACGGAACATAACGAGAAAAAGTCACTAGAAGAAAGGCTAAACGTCGAGAAAAAGATTCTTCGGGAGCCAGGGAAAAATTTAGAAATAAACCCCCCCCATAATAGAAGCCTCCCCCATATTAGAAGCCCCCCCGTATTAGAAGCCCCCTCTGGAGGAATCGATGTGGAAGGTGTATTAGAAGCCCAAGGGCTTCTATTACGTCGGAAAAATAATTTAAATTTTTTAAACGACACATTTGATCGACACGCCTTTTTTTTACTTTAATTGTTCTTGTGTGATGTCGTGTGTAAAAAAAGGAAACGAATAAAATTTACATTTTTTATCTCGAAAAAGATTTTTTTCAGATTAATTGAGATTACCGTGATTAGAAAGGCAA